TTCCTTCCTTCCTTCCTTCCTTCCTTCCTTCCTTCCTTCCTCAGGCTGGGTGGCCCCCAAGGTCCAAAATGCGCTCTTGGTTCTCTGCAGCCCTCCCCGGTGCACATGCTGGCTCCTCCCATCTGCTCTCCACGGTCTCAGCCTCCTTGGGGTCCATGGCACCCCCATTGCCAGACCCAGAGGTTGCTGCTGGCCTCTGTGGCTTCGCCGAGGCGCCCTCTTTCCTGCTAAAGCGCCTCCTCTTGCGGCCATGCACTGGGGTCTCCTCCAGGGGCTCCACCTCTCCCGCTGGCGCCTGGGCTCTGCACTGGGCCCTCAGGTCTACCCCAAAGGCCTGTATGTGCACCTCCCACCCAGTCCTCCCTGTGGTCGCTGCTTGGCCACTGCCGTCTCCACTGGTGTCTGTCCACCAGGCACCCCCAGTGCAGCGGGTCGCCACCCACCTTCTCCTGCACTGGACCGTCTCAGGGAAGAGCCGCCTGCCGCGGTGCCCCCCTCATCCCCTACCCCGCCCACTGATCCCCGCCTTCTCCTGTCTGGGCGCTGGTTCCCATCTCGCTCTCTGACCAGCACCCTCCGCCCGCCGCCTCCCGCACTGCTGTCGCGAGCTTGGCTCTGCCTGCCCCATGCTGCCTGTGTCCCCCGGTGACCCAGGGCACTCAGCAGGAGTCTGGGGTCAGTGAGAGGCTGTGGGGCAGGTTGTGCCTGGTGTCCTGTGTGATCTGGGCCGGGCCCGCTGCCGGGTGTATGCCCCCTGCCGGGTGTGTGCCCGCTGCCAGACTGTGCCCCCTGCCGGGTGTGTGCCCGCTGCCAGAGTGTGCCCGCTGCCAGAGTGTGTGCCCGCTGCCAGATGTGTGCCCGCTGCCGGGTGTGTGCCCGCTGCCGGATATATGCCCCCTGCCGGGTGTGTGCCCGCTGCCGGATATATGCCCCCTGCCGGGTGTGTGCCCGCTGCCGGATATATGCCCCCTGCCGGGTGTGTGCCCGCTGCCGGATATATGCCCCCTGCCGGGTGTGTGCCCGCTGCCGGATATATGCCCCCTGCCGGGTGTGTGCCCGCTGCCGGATATATGCCCCCTGCCGGGTGTGTGCCCGCTGCCGGATATATGCCCCCTGCCGGGTGTGTGCCCGCTGCCGGATATATGCCCCCTGCCGGGTGTGTGCCCGCTGCCGGATATATGCCCCCTGCCGGGTGTGTGCCCGCTGCCGGATATATGCCCCCTGCCGGGTGTGTGCCCGCTGCCGGATATATGCCCCCTGCCGGGTGTGTGCCCGCTGCCGGATATATGCCCCCTGCCGGGTGTGTGCCCGCTGCCGGATATATGCCCCCTGCCGGGTGTGTGCCCGCTGCCGGATATATGCCCCCTGCCGGGTGTGTGCCCGCTGCCGGATATATGCCCCCTGCCGGGTGTGTGCCCGCTGCCGGATATATGCCCCCTGCCGGGTGTGTGCCCGCTGCCGGATATATGCCCCCTGCCGGGTGTGTGCCCGCTGCCGGATATATGCCCCCTGCCGGGTGTGTGCCCGCTGCCGGATATATGCCCCCTGCCGGGTGTGTGCCCGCTGCCGGATATATGCCCCCTGCCGGGTGTGTGCCCGCTGCCGGATATATGCCCCCTGCCGGGTGTGTGCCCGCTGCCGGATATATGCCCCCTGCCGGGTGTGTGCCCGCTGCCGGATATATGCCCCCTGCCGGGTGTGTGCCCGCTGCCGGATATATGCCCCCTGCCGGGTGTGTGCCCGCTGCCGGATATATGCCCCCTGCCGGGTGTGTGCCCGCTGCCGGATATATGCCCCCTGCCGGGTGTGTGCCCGCTGCCGGATATATGCCCCCTGCCGGGTGTGTGCCCGCTGCCGGATATATGCCCCCTGCCGGGTGTGTGCCCGCTGCCGGATATATGCCCCCTGCCGGGTGTGTGCCCGCTGCCGGATATATGCCCCCTGCCGGGTGTGTGCCCGCTGCCGGATATATGCCCCCTGCCGGGTGTGTGCCCGCTGCCGGATATATGCCCCCTGCCGGGTGTGTGCCCGCTGCCGGATATATGCCCCCTGCCGGGTGTGTGCCCGCTGCCGGATATATGCCCCCTGCCGGGTGTGTGCCCGCTGCCGGATATATGCCCCCTGCCGGGTGTGTGCCCGCTGCCGGATATATGCCCCCTGCCGGGTGTGTGCCCGCTGCCGGATATATGCCCCCTGCCGGGTGTGTGCCCGCTGCCGGATATATGCCCCCTGCCGGGTGTGTGCCCGCTGCCGGATATATGCCCCCTGCCGGGTGTGTGCCCGCTGCCGGATATATGCCCCCTGCCGGGTGTGTGCCCGCTGCCGGATATATGCCCCCTGCCGGGTGTGTGCCCGCTGCCGGATATATGCCCCCTGCCGGGTGTGTGCCCGCTGCCGGATATATGCCCCCTGCCGGGTGTGTGCCCGCTGCCGGATATATGCCCCCTGCCGGGTGTGTGCCCGCTGCCGGATATATGCCCCCTGCCGGGTGTGTGCCCGCTGCCGGATATATGCCCCCTGCCGGGTGTGTGCCCGCTGCCGGATATATGCCCCCTGCCGGTGTGTGCCTGCTGCTGGGTGTGTGCCCGCTGCCGGTGTGTGTGCCCGCTGCAGGGTGTGTGCCTGCTGCCGGTGTGTGCCCGTTGCCGGATATATGCCCCCTTTCGGGTGTGTGCCCGCTGCTGGGTGTGTGCCCGCTGCCGGTGTGTGCCCGCTGCCGGTGTATGCCTGAGCACATCCTGCCCCTTCCCATGACACACTCGCATGGGCCCGGCTGCACTGCTTCCTGGGAAAACCCGGAACAGGAAATGTAAGATGTGATTCGCAAGTAAAGTAGTTTTGCTGTAACAAATGGGGCCCGCCCAGCCTGGCTGGCACTCGCTCTGAAGACCACGGTGCAGACCTTGGGTCTGTGTGGGGCGGGCATATTGTGGGCGTTAGAGCACATGCCACCCCGTCTCTGCTCCTTCGCCCCCAGGTAGCCATTCTCGGATTGAAGAGAGATGTTCTGGGGAGGGTGTTGCTTTAACCAAACACAGTGACCTTCAGAACCTAAAGCAGGTATTTATAATGAGCAGAGGGAAGCACAGATAGGACTGGCAGGGCAGCACCCGCCACACGGAAGTGGAGCTGCTCCGAGCCTGGCCAGGCTGCAGGGAGAGGTCCGGGAGGGAGCGGCCTGAGGTAGCCCTGCAGGTCTGGTTGGTGGAGGCCAGCTCCCTGACTGCTGTCCGCTAGTCTGCGCTGCCGGGACAACGTGGGCAGCTGCTGAGAAGCTGGGGGTGGACAGGCCCCCCTCCCTCCCCGCCCCCAAGTGGGTTCCAGCAGGAGGATCAGAAGGGGTGCCCACAGGCCATGCTTGCTGGATGTCGCCGGCAGCCAGCCTGAAATGTACTTAGTGATCAGCTACAATTTATAGTTTGTGGCTCCTAGACTCAGGGGTCATCTGGCAAAGGTGCGGGCCAAGGGAACTCAAAGCACCTTGCACATCACCCGCCTCCTGCCCTCCCCCTCCCCTGCCCTCCCAGGGCCCCAGTGGCCAGGGGCTCTCCCTGCGGAGCTGCCACTGTATCTGAGAGGGCAGGAGCCGGAGCGCTGAGGAAAGCTGGGGCCCCTGGGTCCCTCCCGGGCCCCTCCCGGGCCTCCGGCCCTCCTGCTGCAGTGACATCGCTGAGATCCTGGCGCTGGGCCCATGGGCCGCAGGGGCGACCTGCAGAGGGTTCTCCCTTTTTAGGGGTTCGTGCATTGGGTGAGACAGAACCACAGAACCAGCTCTAGGTGATGAGGTCTGACCTGGGAGGGGCGGGAATGATCTGCGGATTCCCTGTCTTTCCTCAGCGTGTGGCTGGGGAGGAGCTCACAGCTCTGGCCTGGGATACAGCTCTGACCTGGGGTACAGCTCTGGCCTGGGATACAGCTCTGGCCTGGGCTACAGCTCTGACCTGGGGTACAGCTCTGACCTGGGGTACAGCTCTGACCTGGGGTACAGCTCTGACCTGGGGTACAGCTCTGACCTGGGGTACAGCTCTGACCTGGGGTACAGCTCTGACCTGGGGTACAGCTCTGACCTGGGGTACAGCTCTGACCTGGGGTACAGCTCTGACCTGGGGTACAGCTCTGACCTGGGGTACAGCTCTGACCTGGGGTACAGCTCTGACCTGGGGTACAGCTCTGACCTGGGGTACAGCTCTGACCTGGGGTACAGCTCTGACCTGGGGTACAGCTCTGACCTGGGGTACAGCTCTGACCTGGGGTACAGCTCTGACCTGGGGTACAGCTCTGACCTGGGGTACAGCTCTGACCTGGGGTACAGCTCTGACCTGGGGTACAGCTCTGACCTGGGGTACAGCTCTGACCTGGGGTACAGCTCTGACCTGGGGTACAGCTCTGACCTGGGGTACAGCTCTGACCTGGGGTACAGCTCTGACCTGGGGTACAGCTCTGACCTGGGGTACAGCTCTGGCCTGGGCCACAGCTCTGGCCTGGGGTACAGCTCTGACCTGGGGTACAGCTCTGGCCTGGGCTACAGCTCTGACCTGGGCCACAGCTCTGGCCTGGGGTACAGCTCTGGCCTGGGCTACAGCTCTGGCCTGGGCTACAGCTCTGACCTGGGCTACAGCTCTGACCTGGGCTACAGCTCTGACCTGGCGCTCATCGAGCTCTCGTTGGTCCTCCCTTCCAGGCTAGGGGGCGGCCCGGAGAGCCTTGGGCCGCAGAGCAGGTTGCACAGGGTGTTGCGGAACTTCTCAGCCACAAAAAAGTACATGATGGGGTCCAGGGCCCCGTTGAGGCTGGTGAGGCAGGAGGTGACCCTGTTCCCCAGGGCCAGGGCACGCCGGGCGGCGCAGGAGGTGCTGCTGCGGTGGCGCAGCACGTAGACGAAACGGTGCACGTGGTAGGGCAGGAAGCAGACCAGGAAGATGGCCAGCACCAGGGCGATCGTGCGGACCGCCTTGTTCTTGAGGCGCGTCTCCACACGGGGGCCCTGCCGCAGGCTGTGGATGATCAGCAGGTAGCAGGTAACCGTGGTGACGAACGGGAAGGTGAAGGCCACAGCCAGGGACGCGAGCGCGTGGGGGGAGGCCTTCTCCCGGTACAGTTGCAGGCAGACGACTGTGTGGTTGGTCCTCACGGTCTGTGGGCTCACCAGCAGTGGGGCCATGGCCACGGCCACCACCACCCAGAGGAAGGCGCAGGCCAGGTGAGCATAGAGGGGCCTGCGGAGCTTGAGGGACTTGACGGGGTGCACAATGGCCAGGAAGCGGTCGGCGCTGATGCAGGTGAGGAAGTAGATGCTGGCGTACATGTTGAGGTAGAAGAGGAAGCCGGTGAGGCGGCATGGGATTTCCCCGAACGGCCAGTGGCTCCCCGAGAAGTGGTAGACCAGGCGCGTGGGCAGGACCAGCACGCAGGACAGGTCTGCCACGGCCAGGTGCAGCAGGAACACGTCGGCAGGGGTGCCTGCCCGGCGGTCCCGGAGGAAAAGCCACAAGGCCAGGGCATTGCCCACAAAAGCCAGGAGGAAATCCAGGAGGTAGAAGGAGGCTAAGAGTGCGTTCTCCAGCTGCGTCTCCTGGCCACACTGATCCGCAGCCGCCAGGGAAGCGTTGGTTGCCAGACCGGAGGCCCCCTTGAGGCCATTCATGCTTCGGCTGGAGGCAGAGCCCGGACGAGCCTGGAGGAAGAGAGGACGGCCTGGTAGCGCGCCGCCCTGCGTGGGGGCCTGGGGACACCTGGTCCATCTGCCAGGGGCTTTCTGAACGTCACCAAGAAGCACAACAGAACCAGGCCTGGAGCTTTCTGGCTGCTGTGGGTCGCACCTGCCTGTGCGAAGGTTCTGCCGGGGGCGGGGCAGGGGCGGGGCAGGGGCGGACTACATTGTCTCAGACCCCGCAGAGTCAGCCCTGGCAGGTGGGGAGCGAACCAGTGTGTCTGAGGCTCTGGAGGCGGGAGGACTGGGAGGGGTCCTCAGGTGTGTTGTCTGAGGGCAGGGTGGTACGTGGGCCCTGAGCCCCATTCCTGGTGGGCAGGGAAGTAGGTTACCTGGCTCCTCTCCGGCTCCCTGAGTCCAGCCCCCCTGGCGCCCACCTGCAGCCTGGGCACTTCCCCCAGGGCGGCGGTGTGGAGTGTGGCCGCTTGTGCCTTCTCTCCTGCCAGCCCCTGACCACAGCTCCGGTGCCTGCCATAGAGGCGGGTCACTAGCAACGCAGTGTGGGCCGTGTCCCAGGGGCCAGAGGCCTGCATTCTGAGTCCCAGGACCCCGAGAGGTCAGGCCGGGAGCACACTTGTCTGCCAGGCCTCACTGCCTGCCGCACCCACACGGGAGGCTAGGGCCAGCTGGGCAGCAGCTGTTTCACAGCTGGCAAGCCTGGTTCTCTCCCCCACAGCCCGGGGAACATGCTCAAAAGGTAGGTCCCACCCAAACACCCGACCCCCTCCCAGGACTGGAGGGGGAGGTGCAGCTGGAGAGGGCTGGTCCAGGAGGCCCGGCCCCTGCTGCTCGTGCCCTGGGGTGCTCACAAGCTCTCCTGGAGGCTCCTGGCCTGGGGGTGGGACTGCAGGGCAGGAGAGGGGCTGTGCGCAGAAGCGCCTCCCAGCAGCCGGAGGGCGGGCTGCTCTCCTGGCTGAGCCTGACTCTGCTGAGCAGCCCGAACCTGGAGCAAGTCCTTTGAATGCCTGCGTCAGGGCTGGCAGGAGGAGTGGCTGTGCCCCAGGGGCATGGCCCTGGCTCGGTTAGCACAGCAGCCCCTCGAGGGGAGGGAGCTGGGGCAGGAACGGACCAGGTTGTGGGGTGCTGGCTCAGCCTGACTTTTCTCATCGGGCCTCCTCAACACGCCGGGCTCCTGAGCTCTGGTCTCAGAGAGAGGCTGGGCCCTGGCCAGTGGCCCGGGGACAATGTGAGGGAGCAGGAGGGAGTGGCCCAGGGACAGTGTGAGGGAGAAGGAGGAAGTGGCCCGGGGACAGTGTGAGGGAGCAGCAGGGAGTGGCCCAGGGACAGTGTGAGTGACAGGAGGGAGTGGCCCGGGGACAGTGTGAGTGACAGCAGGGAGTGGACAGGGACAGTGTTAGTGACAGGAGGGAGTGGCCCAGGGACAGTGTGAGGGAGAAGGAGGAAGTGGCCCGGGGACAGTGTGAGGGAGAAGGAGGAAGTGGCCCGGGGACAGTGTGAGGGAGAAGGAGGAAGTGGCCCGGGGACAGTGTGAGGGAGAAGGAGGAAGTGGCCCGGGGACAGTGTGAGGGAGAAGGAGGAAGTGGCCCGGGGACAGTGTGAGGGAGAAGGAGGAAGTGGCCCGGGGACAGTGTGAGGGAGAAGGAGGAAGTGGCCCGGGGACAGTGTGAGGGAGAAGGAGGAAGTGGCCCGGGGACAGTGTGAGGGAGAAGGAGGAAGTGGCCCGGGGACAGTGTGAGGGAGAAGGAGGAAGTGGCCCGGGGACAGTGTGAGGGAGAAGGAGGAAGTGGCCCGGGGACAGTGTGAGGGAGAAGGAGGAAGTGGCCCGGGGACAGTGTGAGGGAGAAGGAGGAAGTGGCCCGGGGACAGTGTGAGGGAGAAGGAGGAAGTGGCCCGGGGACAGTGTGAGGGAGAAGGAGGAAGTGGCCCGGGGACAGTGTGAGGGAGAAGGAGGAAGTGGCCCGGGGACAGTGTGAGGGAGAAGGAGGAAGTGGCCCGGGGACAGTGTGAGGGAGAAGGAGGAAGTGGCCCGGGGACAGTGTGAGGGAGAAGGAGGAAGTGGCCCGGGGACAGTGTGAGGGAGAAGGAGGAAGTGGCCCGGGGACAGTGTGAGGGAGAAGGAGGAAGTGGCCCGGGGACAGTGTGAGGGAGAAGGAGGAAGTGGCCCGGGGACAGTGTGAGGGAGAAGGAGGAAGTGGCCCAGGGACAGTGTGAGGGAGGAGGAGGGAGTGGCCCGGGGACAGTGTGAGGGAGGAGGAGGGAGTGGACAGGGACAGTGTGAGGGAGAAGCAGGGAGTGGACAGGGACAGTGTGAGTGACAGGAGGGAGTGGACAGGGACAGTGTGAGGGAGAAGGAGGAAGTGGCCCAGGGACAGTGTGAGGGAGGAGGAGGGAGTGGACAGGGACAGTGTGAGTGACAGGAGGGGGTGGACAGGGACAGTGTGAGTGACAGGAGGGGGTGGACAGGGACAGTGTGAGTGACAGGAGGGAGTGGACAGGGACAGTGTGAGGGAGCAGCAGGGAGTGGACAGGGACAGTGTAAGTGACAGGAGGGAGTGGCCCGGGGACCATAGGAGGCAGCAGGAGGGAGCAGGGCCTCTGATGGCCTCAAGGGAAGGAGGGAGTGTAAAGCTAATTATATCAGGTTTTTTAATTTTGGAAGTCACCTGTGTTGTTCCCCACCCAAACGATCTGCTCTGGCTCCAGAGAATTGCAGGATGCCTGAAGTTTGCCTTTGGAGATGGTTTTCCTGCTGTTTCCAAGTGTGTGTGACCTGTGTGTCAGGGAGGCAGGGATGCTGGCGGAGAGGCTGGGGCCATGTGAGTGGGGCATGCTGGGCGCCCTCCCTGTGTTAGCCTTCACACCTCCAGGCCGCGCCCAGCAGGCCCTCCCTGCAGACTGCTCCTGGCTGGCTGTCTGCTCTGCGGGCACAGTCCTCAGAGGCAGGCCTCAGGGACCCGTTCTGCAGAGTAGAAATCTGAGCCTTGAGTCGGGGAAGTTGCCCAAGGTCCCTTGGCGGGGCATTAGCCTGGGAGTTGGAGGTCAGACTCAGCAGGGACACCCGGCACCACAGGCCTTGCTGCTGGGATGGGCACACAGCCCGCGGCCAGAGCTGGGCGTGGCTGGCTCCCTGCCTGCCCGGACCTGTCGCCTCGCTCAGCGCCTCCGGCATGGGGCCTGGCCCCAGAGCCAGTGACAAAATTTTGGGGGCTCAGCGCAACATGACATGCAGGGTCCTTGTTCAAAAAGTAGGACTGAAGATGGTGACAGCAGCGCTCATCTGAGTGTGGGCCTTGCATGACGGCACAGGCCGCGGGGCCCTGGTGGCCATGCCAGCGCCTGGCTCTGTTTCCTGCCCAGAGCCCTCAGCCTGCTACCTGCTGAGGGCTGTGTGCGTGCTGCTCTAGACAGAGACGTAGTTTCAAAATGCTTTCAGGCTTGTTTCCCTGTCCCTCCCCGCTAGGAGTCTGATATGGATTTATGCAGGATGGTCTGCATTCAGCTCTCCGCGTGCCGTGCTCAGGGGTGAGGCCGAGGCCTGGAGTGGCCTGGGCGGTGCCACAGGGCGGCAGGGCTGTGGGGAAGGTGAGCGATGGGCAGGCGTGGCCATCGTAGGAGGCCTCAGTGCAGTCTGGGCAGGCAGGTGGCCGGCACCTCTCCCTGTGGCTACCTCATCTGGCTTGTGCCGTGCACAGTGGCCCCGTGGTGAGGCGCTGGGCGTCTCGTCGCAGCTGTGGGTCTGTGAGCCGCGTGGGCAGGGACACTGCGAGGGGCCGCTCTGGTTAGACAGGGTGTCTTCGTAGGTAGGTCCCACCACCATCACAAAGGCACCTCAGGGACCCCCACGCTGCCCGCCCGCCCGCCCGCCCGCCCTTACCTCTCAGGCTGGCGGCAGGTGGAGACAGGAAGGCTGGGTGCTGAGCTCCTGCAGGCGGCGGGAGGCCAGCTATTTAAGGAGAGGAGGGGAGGTGGCGGCCCCTCTGCCTCTCAAAGGCCGCTTCATCCCCAAGGGTCCCTTGTGCCGGGCCCTCCTAGGCCCTGCTGCCGCGGGGTTGTGAGTATCCAGTGTGTCCCCGGGCCCTCGCCCCAGCTGGGCCTGAGCATCACAGAGGCCAGTGTGCCTGTTCTGGAAGCTGCCGCGTGGTGCGGGCGGGTGCGGGCTGCTGGGACTGACAGACACAACTAGACGTTTCAGAAGGGGACAATTTCCTACCACTGGGGGGGTGCGGGGAGGGTCTGGCTGCCATGGCAACTGGCTCAGGCTCCCTAGCCTTCCTGGGAGACAGTGGGGGGGGCCTTGCGAATGGGGCGGGGGGAGGCTGGGGAACTTGTTTGCTGAATGAGGGGATCTTTTCAGGACACCTGGTGTGGGGTCCCTGTGTCTTTCCCGGATAATTAGCCTCCATTTGGGCATCAGTCACGGCCTTTATCTTGCCGGGCCAGCTGCAGCAGCCTTATAATGGCGCTGTCTGCACCACCGCGGCTCAGCTGGCCAGGCCACGCCGGCTCCTCTCCCGGGAGGCTGCCCACCGCCCACTGGCCCCCAAGACCTCCGGGGGCTCAGGCTGGGACCCTCACTCAGGGCGGCTCCTCCATCTTTCCATACCCAGGGCCGGGGCACCAAGCCACCATTTTTAATTTCAGAAGACTTTTAAATGTTTTAGTTAAAATGTGAGATATGTTTGTAGCCACCTTGTGGAGTAGCTACCTTAAACTTGTACTGCCTTAGCCTGCTGGTCGCGGGCCCTGCCCCGCGTGGGGATGGCTGCCCCCTGCAGACCTACGCAGCTCAGGAGGCGGGGGAGCTCGCCAGCTACAAGCCACCAGGAAGTGGCAGACAGGACTCGAACCCCAGCGTGTGTGACTCCAGCACGTCGCTGTGTGCGCGCTCGCGCGCTTTGTCCTGTTTTTCTGTTGCACCTCGATGCTGGAATTCTTGGGCTCCATCTTCATTCCATCTGGATAAATACTCTCCAGGTCGCCTTCAGGTGTGCAGGGGTCAGGCCTGCCGAAACACACTGCTCATCCGGGGTTCCTCAGGAGAGCTGGGCTCCTCGAGGCTGCCTGCCGGGAGCCTGGGGCCGGTGTGGGACGGGTCCGCCCGCCATGCCCAGGAGGGTGCTCTGGAAGAGCTGGTTCACACTGGTTCGAGATGAGGGTGTCGGCTGGCTCCCTGAGCAGGGCATTTCTGTGGTTGGGGTGACTGCCCACAGAGTCTTTGAGTTCATTGCAACAGAGTTGTGGGGAGTTGTGCTAATTTCTGTAGCTTTGAAGAAAAAATTACCCCGTTTGGCTTGAATGTTGTTCTAATGATAAAAGAACCCACCAGTCTGCGTGTGGGAGGCAGCACGCATGGTGGGCAGGGCCAGCTGCATGCGTCGAGAGAGTGGCCTTGCCCAGGCCTGCTATGGCAGGGGCTGGGGGGCTCGGGTGAAAGTGGGGTGAGGAAAGCTTCAAGGATCTGGGGCCTGAAAGGGGCAAAACCTTAGTCACAGAGCTGAAGGCCGAAGGCCGTGATGGGCAGAGCACCAGGGTCGCAGGCCGAGCAGCTCCCAGCCTTGGTCTGGCCGTGCTGCCCCGGCGGGGGGGGGGGGGGGGGGGGTGCCCGCCCTCTCCTGTCTCTGCCTGTGTTCACTCCCCTGCCACAGGCTCCTCTGGAGCTGCTGCCCGCGAGGCAGCACGGCCTGGAGCCTGGCGCTGAGCAAGTGGCTGCGGGGCACTCACTCGAGCCCCTTGCCATTCACGCCCACCGGGAGATAGGACAGAGACCAGGGCACAGAGCAGTGCTGCACAGCGTCGAGCCCAGACCCAGGGAGGAGCAGGCTCTGCCCTGGGACCTGCCCACCCACCTGCCGAGAGCCGTCTGCACTGGACTCCTGCCCTGCCCACAAAGGGGCCTGAGCATGAGGGGCAGCCCTCGATGACCAGGGGCACCCGGGATCGGGTGGATTGGGAGCCTGGAGGGGGGCACGTGCCTCAGGAGCTTGCAGATGGAGGCCGGTGGGGAGGAGTGGGGCACTGGCCTCTGGACATCTTGGCCTGGGGACCCGGCACCCCGAGGCCAGGGGAGCAGAGCCATGCTGGTTTATCTCTGTGCAGCCACAGCAGCTGCCCAGGGCAGGGGCAGCACCAGGACCCCGAGGCCTCACGGAGGAGCCTGTGGTGACATCTCCCGGGTGGTACCTCCGCTGGCACCTCGGCTGCTCGCACACGGAGCCTGCAGATGCGCTGCCCCTGTGGCGGCCCCAGAGGAAGGGTGGCCCCTCCTGGCTGCTCTGCCGGACATGCGGGGTGTGGCTGATAGTGACCATGTAACCACTCATGCCCGCTGGGGACATTTGAAAAATAAACTAATTTTTTAGCAGAAGTCAGTGAAATGTCTACTCTTGTCCACACAATGTCCTGGGCTCAAGAGACGGGGAGAGAAGAACCCTCATGTTCGCTGCTCCGTCCTGAATGCGGGCCCTGGCCACGGTGGGGAGGGGAGGGGTGGGAGGGTGGGGGGGCAGGAGGTGGCTCTGCTTCAGGAGGCGGCTGGCTTCTGAGAGGAGGGGGTGGACATCTCCCAATGCCTGTCACTGCCCACAGACACCTGTGCCGGCCCTGCCACAGCCGGGAGAAGGCCAAGGACCTGGGCAAGCATGTCTGCCAGCGGTGCCACCTGGTCATCGAGGAGCAGCCCCTCATGTTCAGGAGTGACGCCTACCACCCCGACCACTTCAGCTGCACCCACTGCAGGTACTGGGCGTGGTGGGCAGGGGCAGGCCGAGGAGTGGATGCCTGGGGGCAAGAGGCCCCTCGCTCCAGGGCATGAGGGCTGGGCCCCGAATGGGGCTGACAGCAGAGACTCAAAGGCAGGGGGCAGGGTGAGGAGGGTGCTGCTGGTGGAGAGAGGTGGAGAGGGAAGAGAGGCTGCGAGAGGTGCAGAGGGGCCTGAGAACGCGCTGCTGGGACTTGGCAGCGAGGTCAGCCGCCCTCTGCACGTCTGTGCCCGAGCCTGAGGTCCCGGAGCTGCCTGCCCAGGTCCTGCCCCTCGGGCTGGCACTGCCAGGGCTCCTGCAGGTGGGCCTCAGGGGCTCATACAGGTGGGTCAGGGGCTCATACAGGTGGGCCTCAGGGGCTCATACAGGTGGGCCACAGGGGCTCATACAGGTGGGTCAGGGGCTCATACAGGTGGGCCTCAGGGGCTCATACAGGTGGACCCTGGGGGGGGCGGGGGCCTCACGGCTCTGGGCTGCCTTTAGGAAGGAGCTGACCGCTGAGGCCCGGGAGCTGAAGGGGGAGCTCTACTGCCTGCCGTGCCACGACAAGATGGGAGTACCCATCTGCGGAGCCTGCCGCCGGCCCATCGAGGGCCGCGTGGTCAATGCGCTGGGCAAGCAGTGGCATG